TCTGTCCTCCATCCTTCAGCTGGCACTACTATTGTATACTATGTATGTGCTATTTAATGTAATAATCTTACTTAGCAATAACAACCCCCATCCTCCATCAAACACATGTACCAAGTATCCAGACATTAAAACACCTTTTTTATAAATATCTTTTCTAGTTGCAAATAGTGAAGACTTGTTTTTGTGTATGCTCATTGATGTGATTTGTTTGTAAATACTGTTGTCTTTGTTGCTTCATCATGCCTATTATATAAATTTCACAATAGCTACAGTAAAAGTAAGTAAGCCCTAAATGAGGCAACATTTTATGTATGTAAAAAGTGTAATAAAAACATTAGAAATAATAATTATAATAATGAATAAATGAAAACAATCTGAGGATATTGATAAAAATTGTTTTATTCTACTTGTTTCTTTGTACTGATGGAGCCTAATAATAATAATAATAATAATAATAATATGTCGGTCTTATATAGTGCTTGTTTTATTATTTCAAAACTCCTGACAAAAATGAAAGAACAACTATCATAAGAATTGGAATCACATGATCGGTTGAAGCTGTTAATTGTTTTCTTGAAATTCCCTTTTAATGGTTTTACAAAGTCTATGTGCTGTGGTTATTATTAGGCTTCATCAGTACAAAGAAACAAGTAAGTAGAATAAACATTTTTACCAATATCACTTCCAGATTGAATCTCCTAAAGTATTTTTTTTTTTAATTTAAAAATAATTGGAATTCAATCAGCAGTTTAAATGAAATTAATTTTTTTTTTTAATGAAAACACCATATACATTTTTTTCAATGAAAACACCATAAATTGTAATGTTGTGCAGAAAAGATATATCATCTCAAAATTACACAAGCATTATTAACTTTCCACTTATAATTTTGTTACACATTATTTTTATTTATTTATTTGTTTGGTATAAAAGTTTAAAACTTTTTGAGTTTACATATAAAAAGATATCTACTATACAGAAAACATACTCAAAACAAGCAAAATAAAACTAGGTAAAAAGCAATTTTATTGTTAACCAATACCAATTGGAGGAAATTTTAAAATGTTAAGGAAACTATTTAATAAATAAACCTCCCAAATAAGAAGAATACCATGGTAATTTTTACTACATATCTTTACTCAGTTATCATTTACTATTAGTTTACAATAGGATCAAAGGAATACAGAAAAACACAAAAGAGAATTGTATCAATTATTTAAGGGATGGTTGACTGACTTAACGCTGACCCCGCCTCTAAAGTGGCCAGTGTTTGATGTGCCTACACTGAGGTTCCCTTCAAGGCTGATAGACAAAAGGTGTGCACTGATAATTGTGAGGTGTTCTGTAATGGCAATTATGTATTTAATGCAAAGAGGAAGTACAAAAGAATAGAAACGTGAAAGGTGTAAAAACTAATCAAAATACATCAAGTAATTTTTAATTAAATTGTCTAATTTCTGCACACTTTTTAAAAGGAAATTAAAAATGATTGAAAGACTTCAAAGTGGAAGCCGCAGTGATCAAAGTATGTGGTCTGGCTTGTGATATTTTGTTTGAAGAATGGCGCGTTAACTAGTTGTAAATGTTATTCAAATGTCTGTATTTTGGGGGATTTTTAAATTATATTTATTGTTTTCCACATAAAATATCACAATTTAGCGACCTGAAATTAGCATATTTTTTGTAATTAGATGCTATCTAATTGTATAGTAATTTTAATTCTAATAATTTTGCTCTTAATTCAGCTCTCTTGCAAATGAGTGATTTTATGTATATATAGGCCTATAGTTCTTTATTGTGAATATATGTTCCTCTGTAAGTTCATAATAATATATAGAAATAATTAAAACTGATCAAAATTTGTCCAATGTCCAATGCCTTTTATCATGCTAAATATGTATATGGACATCATTAATGTCATAATAATCATTATTATCATTATCGTTGTTGTCATTACTTTATTTTATCATCATCTAGTGTCATATAATATGTATAAAGTACTCACACAAGTATGGAAGTTTAATTTTTTGAGCACCTTTCATTTCACTTGATAAATTTCCTTATTTTCCGTTTACCACAGGTAAAAGGCCTAAATCATTTTGTTTTTCCATTAACTTAATACCTCTTAACCATGCTTCACATTGATTTTTGTCCATAATTCACAGGCCCCAGAATAATTCATCACACTTCATCATGTGATGGCCCACATATTTTTTAATTGTCTGGATAACCGCAGACTTGATAAGTACAGTATTCATTGGATCAGACAGAACATTTCCAAGAAGATGAAGAAGTAATCTAATTAAACATATCTAAAAATACCACATCAATTACTTTACTTTAGGCCAAGCATAATTGTAACGAATTAAGCAACTATATCACTGGATTTTTAGCAGACAGCTTCACCGGAACAATTTATTAGTTTTGTTAAGCATTTAAACTGTCCAGAAAAATGTATGATTAAGAGGCAACTTATCTTATCAATCTAATTAATCATAGGAATCCATTTATTTTCTGAGAAATATGTACTTTAAATATTTATTTACTCCAAGAGTTGAACCATTAGGCCTATATTTATGGTGGTGTACATAACTGTTTTAGTATCACTTTTGGTTTTCCTGTTCTATCAAAAGAGTTCATCTAAAATGTTTAATAAAGTTATTTACTCTAGATATGAATCTTTTTCATAGTGGTATAGACCTATAGGATTTGTGAGTCAGTAACCATTTAAAGTTCATTCTGCTATAAGATAAAAAAAAAATTGCCTACTGTGTAAGCCTACTGTATATGAATCATTATATCATGTGATAATAACTGAAGTGGATTGTAACGGCAGTGGCCTTTTTTTGCACAAGATAGTAGTACCATAGAACATACATGAAGGAATAATACATCATATCCAATTTTTAAAAAATATAGCAAAACAAATGCAACCAACAATTGTTTGCTGGACTAATACATCTCTTATCCTAATTCCCATGAAATTTAAATTAATTCAGAATGATGTTTTAATCAGCGTTTCCTTTTTATCGTTGTCATGGTTTTTAAAGATGTGCAAGAAGAATACCATCTGTTAATATAATTCTGTGTTTAAATTAGCTACCTAAGTTGACATGGTTTGGACCACAATTGTTTATCTTTACATCCATTCATTCATTCATTCATCCATCCATCCATCCATCCATCCATCCATCCATTCATTAATTCTTTCATTCATTCATTCTTGTATTCATTCATCCATCCTTTATTTAATTAATCATTTTGTTCTTTCATTCGTTTATTCGTTCATTCTTTCTTTCATGGATTAATTAATTCATTTATTCATTCATTCATATATACATTCATGTATTCATTCATTCATCTATACATTCATGCATTCATTCATGCATTCATATATACATTAATTCAATCAATCATTCATTCATTTTCCTTAATTTATTTTATGCACTATAAATACATTTGGGTAAGTTTATGTGTAATTCTAAGATTGTTATAGTATCAGTACCGGTAATCTATACTATTTATGTTCATATAAACAACATCAAAGAAAATTCCAGTGAACTGCGGATGAGATTTTTCACAGGAAGAGTGATTTTTCATTTCTAGACACATGCCCTAATGGTTCTGAAAAAAGGACAGTGTATGGCTAGCCGCGATATTCACTGATGCAAGAATTTTTCAACAAAAAGATTAGCATTCGATATATAATTAATTTCTGAAAGTAACGAAATGAAGGGCTCATTAAATATTCCTACAAATATTCTCTGGAATTTCCATAATATAATTTAATGAAATTTGAATGCCATTTACATAATACAGTAATAATGTTTAAAAACTGCCTTATAAGTGCATTCACACCGAATCCAAATTTTTTGATCGGAAAGCCGGATCAGAAAATTGGATCAGTGTATAAGAATAAGGACCCTGGCGTTCAGTGCATCAGAAATGCTGTCCAAAATTTGGTTCGGGCCCGATGTGAAAACAGCTTAATTCTTATGATACCTTGTAAAGCATTTTAATTTTATTTAATTTTGTAGGCCTATATTTATTTTATATTTTATCTATATTTTATTTATTTAAATTATATTTTTATTTAATAAACTTCACACATAGGCATAGATACAAAAGTGAAGGAGACAAGCCAACAGGTGACGAACACCTATACAAGGGCTTCTCCTTACCATAAAAATACAAAAATAGAAATATATATAAAAATAGAAAAAGACTGTATGCACTGAGCATGAACATTAATTATTATTCTGTTAATAAACATTGCAATTTTTTTATTTGTCATAGTAAAAAAATGGATTGATGAAATCAAACATCCATATTTCTTGATCCTTTATTTTGCTATTACTAAACAAATGGCCTCTAATAGTGCACTAGAGTAGTAATAAGAGGTTATGTGGTACTTAACACAGCATCTTGTACAAAAGATTAGATCTATGTCTTCACTGATCATTGGAATTTCATTTAATGTGTTTGAAGATATCAAATAACATACAATAAGTAATTTTACAACAGGTAGAAATATTTATACTTTAAGGCTATAACCAAAAATTTTTAACATTTCAAGAGTACTAAAAAAGTAAACTGAATTATTGTGTTTTAGTGTTTAAAATGTAGAATTCAACATCCATTTTTTTTTTTTGGTAAAATGAATTTCAATATAAAATTTAATCTGCATACTAATTGTTTCTACACCTGTATTAATGCAGGCTATATTTTATACACCTGTTTGCTTCAGGTGCTCATTTCTGAGTGATGATTGTTCCATACACTCCAGTATTTATAGATATAAAAATGCCGACAGTGAATTTGGATTAATTTTTAGCTAACGTTTCATATTCCAACCCAGGGGTTTTGAATCGACCTTTGCAAATAATAAATTACTAAACTTTTTTGAGTTTATCGGAACTTGCTTTTCATTTTGACTTTGGGGAAATTCCTCTTGGGACAGACGGTCCGTACAAGGCGTTTTGTTATTTACCGTGTTGTTTACTTCGCATCGTGGCGTGAATAGGATCCAAAGAGCAAGTTAAATGCTGGTTGGGACGACTTCCAAATTCGGGGATGCCATAACATGATGGATTTTTTTCCAGTGGACACAATATATGCCTAGGTAAACATACTCAATTGTGACGCGAGCATGCATCACATAACGTCAGGTCCCAATCAAATCCCCAGCAGCCATTTCAGCTCTCCATTCATCCAACAAACAAAAGGCTAAGCGCTTGAAGTAAAATACCTAGTGTTCATGCTTAGTGCATAGGAAATAATTGGCTATGCTTCAGTACAACTGTTGAATAGGGTAAACCAAACACCCTTCTCATTGGCTGCAGGCCTAATTCTTCTCCTCTCTCCTATTTAGTTACTTGCTGATAGGAGTACAGAGTTACATTGGACACCCTTGCAGGAGGTGATGCTGGAACTGTGTAAATTTGATCAAATATACTTGAATGGATTTATCTCATCAACTTTACTGAATCATGAAGGACCCACATATTGGGTAAGTGTTTATACTTTCTTTTTCCATTTTCAGAAAATCGTGTCTGTTTTATTCTTCTGTTTTTCCATAATACTTTATTTACACTATATTTCCAACAGCAAACTTGCCGAGTCAGAAAGTTTGTTTACTTACTGTACTAGGTTGTAGTTACTTAAGTTGTTTAGAGGTGTACATAACAAATGTTTTAATATTTAATTTCCCCGAACTCTGGTATATTAATTTAATAACAACAAATTAAGTTAATTATTGTATATATGGTATCTGTGATTTCATTATAGTAATAATAATAAAGCTTAGCTTGTATTGTAAACACAACAGTTTTTGTCAATATAGTAGTCCTATTGATAAAAGATATTCTTTATAATCTCTACATATCAACTTGATTTGACACATGCTATGGCATTTTTTTTTTTTTTGCTGTGTACATTTTGTGACTTGTAAAATATGTCTAAATAAACATATAGATAACAATATTTAATGTAAAGTAAAGGTGTTAAACTAATTTTGTTAAATGTTCAGAAGTATTTGAGACTTTTGTATACTGAGTGCTTGCCTAAAATGTATAGCATCTCCTAATATTAATAAAGTGTTTGTGCAGTTAGTACCCATTCTCATCCTGATAGATTTCCTTATAGCCATTGGCAGTTTAATTCCTCTACCCCTTTCATTATCATTTCTACAGTTTTCACTCTTACAAAAATCAAAATTTTAATATTTATTTGAATTGTTGCTTGTATATTTTTTAATAAAAAAAGTTTTATTTTCTTTAAATAGATAGGTACTAGCATATTGTTTTGAACTTGATTATTACACTATAGCCCCGAATATTAGTTTAACATTTGAAGAAAGGAAAAACACTGGACACAATTTTGAATGTTTAATGTAAATAACTTCTTATTAATTTGAAATTATTGTTTAAAAAATACAGAAGACTGGTACTTTGCTGTTCATTAATAAGAGGATATATTCTTCTCCTCTCTCCTATTTAGTTACTTGCTGATAGGAGTACAGAGTTACATTGGACACCCTTGCAGGAGGTGATGCTGGAACTGTGTAAATTTGATCAAATATACTTGAATGGATTTATCTCATCAACTTTACTGAATCATGAAGGACCCACATATTGGGTAAGTGTTTATACTTTCTTTTTCCATTTTCAGAAAATCGTGTCTGTTTTATTCTTCTGTTTTTCCATAATACTTTATTTACACTATATTTCCAACAGCAAACTTGCCGAGTCAGAAAGTTTGTTTACTTACTGTACTTGGTTGTAGTTACTTAAGTTGTTTAGAGGTGTACATAACAAATGTTTTAATATTTAATTTCCCCGAACTCTGGTATACTAATTTAATAACAACAAATTAAGTTAATTATTGTATATATGGTATCTGTGATTTCATTATAGTAATAATAATAAAGCTTAGCTTGTATTGTAAACACAACAGTTTTTGTCAATATAGTAGTCCTATTGATAAAAGATATTCTTTATAATCTCTACATATCAACTTGATTTGACACATGCTATGGCATTTTTTTTTTTTTTGCTGTGTACATTTTGTGACTTGTAAAATATGTCTAAATAAACATATAGATAACAATATTTAATGTAAAGTAAAGGTGTTAAACTAATTTTGTTAAATGTTCAGAAGTATTTGAGACTCTTGTATACTGAGTGCTTGCCTAAAATTTATAGCATCTCCTAATATTTATAAAGTGTTTGTGCAGTTAGTACCCATTCTCATCCTGATAGATTTCCTTATAGCCATTGGCAGTTTAATTCCTCTACCCCTTTCATTATCATTTCTACAGTTTTCACTCTTACAAAAATCAAATTTTCAATATTTATTTGAATTGTTGCTTGTATATTTTTTAATAAAAAAGTTTTATTTTCTTTAAATAGATAGGTACTAGCATATTGTTTTGAACTTGATTAGTACACTATAGCCCCGAATATTAGTTTAACATTTGAAGAAAGGAAAAACACTGGACACAATTTTGAATGTTTAATGTAAATAACTTCTTATTATTAATTTGAAATTATTGTTTAAAAAATACAGAAGACTGGTACTTTGCTGTTCATTAATAAGAGGATATATCTAAAGATTTGATAATCATCTGAGCTGTGTTCTGATTGGCTTGGAATACTTCAGATTTAATATTATTGTTATATCTGTACAGAGAAGACATTTTATTGCAGTGTTTGCAAAAGCCTATTCTGTTTCAGCCAAGTTGCCATATACACTTTATCTTTCTTCCGTCTACAAACATAATAAAATACTAATAACAAAAGTAAGATGGTTGTAAAACAATCTAAAAAGATTCAGTTAAATTGTAAATATTGACATTTCGAAGAAAGAGAGAGGATGGGGAAGGCCATTGTTTTTGTAATTTTAGATTTATTACGTATGTTTTTTATCTACCGATTCTCCCCCTCTTTAATGTGATCTTTTTAGAAATGAAAGCGAGGGATTTATGAATGAGTCGGTCCAGAGGGGAAAATGAAATCGCGGAAGTCACGTTTTACAGAAAGCTTTGACTGATATTAACGGTTAAGAGGATAAATTGAAAACAATAACTGGATTTTTATGAGGGCATGAAGGTCTATCGATGCTACGCTTGAATGCATCGAAGCCAGTGAAATTCCGGTTTTGGCTAATTTTGACCTTTACAATCAGTGAAATTGTATGAAATCATTGATGTGTAGTATTCCACTATTGTGCTAAGCATTTAGTTTGATCTTTCTTTCGGCTTGCATTTAGCAGGGAATAATAGTCTTAACAAAATTGTATTGTGTTATCGATAAGCATTCAACTGTATTACCTCTAACAACAGGTTTATGTATAGTATAATATAAATCTGGCTTTTAATCTATGGATGCGGGCAGAGTTGCATCATGGAAAATTTGACCGTGGCTCATAAAAATCCGCTCACAAAAAGTGTACGTTATTGAGATGTATTGATACTTTTATGTAGAGTAAAAAATGTGTTATTTTATGAAAAAGCTCTGTTATGAGTTTCCATCTGAAAAAACCATTCATGCAGTATGAACAAGAGTTATTGTGGGTTTTTGATGAGCAATTGCCTGGAGCTCCGTTTTGGTTTTTTTTTTTTTAGTGTGTTTTTGTAAAGCTAAAGTATGATGAGTTTTGTTGCACTAAACTTAGCAAGATTTAAGATAGCATACAAAAATACAATGATGATTTCTGAGATTTAAGTATTTATAAAGAGATATAATTACAAGTATTTCTTTCCATAAAAAATTTATTTCTGTTTTTAGCAGTGTTTTACTAAGTGTGCTAAAACACGTTAATTATGAAGGAATTATTCTGCTGTAGCTATAACAGGCAAAATAATTATCAAATTGTCCATCCTGCATCATTTTTTTTTTTTTTTTTTTTTTTGCAAAAGGAGGTTGCATATTTTACATTTACCAGCTAAATCACAAAAATATTGCAAAATTCCAACATTCATCTGAAGCAATCTGTACCAGTAGGCCTATCCATGTTTGCTAGTTCCTGGTGGTCAAGGCTTGGATATGGCAATGTGTGTATTATGGCTTTTGTAATTTAAAAAAAGGGGTGGAGAAAGGGCAATAAATACTACCATATGCATAAAAAAAAATCTCTGGATTCTCTATAATAGTGTACAAAAATGGAGAATGAGATAACTGTGTGGGGTTTCCTCAATTGACTGTATTTTCAAGGTTTTATTATACGTCAGTACCGCAGTTGAGTTGAATAGAAAATGTTAAAATTTGTCTATACTTTATATCAGTTACACTGACCTGGGCAAGTTGGATAGGCCTTGAGACTTTGCCACAACAAATATTGATATAATTTTGAGAGGAAGTTCAATCAAACTGTACAAACATTTGCATTTAGGCCTAGAAGGTAACAGACTACAACAACGTGCTAGATATGGTACTCGCAGCCCAGCATCAGCAGAGATGTGACTTATTGCCTGATGTGGCTGACTTCCAGATCCAGGGGTCTCAGTTCAATTCATGAAAATCCCTTTACTTAAAATACTTTAGTTTGTAAGATAATAAGTTTGTTTGAATCCTTTTAATCTGCATTAAAAACGGATTACTGCCATTAGTTCCAATCTAATTTTTCCAATAAAAAAAAAACTGATATTTTAACAGAATTCATTAAATGTTTATTTATTGACTGCCTGCTTCATGAGTTTTAACAAAATATGATTTACTTTAGAATCATTACTGGGATAACTGATAGTAAACCATTATTATTTATAAATTATAAAGAAATAATAATTATAATTAGTTTATAAATTATTAAGAATGTTTTTGTCAAATCTAATCTATAGGCTGTATTATTTTCTTATTTTTTGTTAATATTTATTTCATTTTATATTTAATTAGCTTGTGTTCACATCATATCATAATTTAATTAAACCTTTTTAATGTTTACAGTACTTTAATGATAAAAATATAGATTTTAATGTTCTCATATGGGGTCTACTGTACTTTCTTTATGTAGACTTTTTTCTCTACAGTGCATAGGTAATTTATTTTGTGATATAGAAATGATTATCTATTATAATAATTACCATTTTGATGATCATTTATCCAAATACAACTAAAACATTATCAGATGTACAGTATTATTTCATGTTTCTCAATATAATATATTTTCGCTATCAATACCATTCCGGAAGGTAGTTTATTAGTTCTTGTTAGAATTACATCTACATTTTTGTACACCTCACTGGCTTGTCAGGATTAAATATCCTCTAAAAATGCCTCCTGTACTGTTGCTCAGCCCTCTGCTTGTACTGTATGTCACAAACGAACAGCGCAATCTACTGGACCATGAAGTCATGTGATTAGTATCTCAACTGGACCAGGAAGCTATTAATTTTGATAGCAGCACCTGATAATAAACAAGACCTTCACTTCCTCTCAAAATGGCTGGCTGTCAGAATTGACACCATCTCCCTACTCTAAAATGGAATGGTCCATCCTGGTAATAAATTGCTAGAGAAACTGTGAATGCCACAGTTAGTAGCAAGTCAATCCAAGTGTTAAATATTGTTGGATAGCAGAGCAGAAATATAAAATGAATCAAATACAACTGCTTATCCCATCTATTACTTCATGGAATTTTTAAATGTTATGCTGTAGAAAACAGGGTGATCAGTCTGTTTGTTGTTATGGGAACTATGGATCACTTGTAAGTATTTAATATAGATAAGATTAGTTTAAAGTTTAATAAACTTTATGTTACTATATTTTCATCTTACATCTCCTGCTGGTTTGATCTTTTATTTTTAGGACCTACACTTCTATGATGTTCAGTGGATGTAAGACTTTATCAGCAAGTTCAGTCATTTAAACAATTGTTTTTACTTAATATCTTTTATATCTGTTGTTTTTCTTTTCCATACAGTATTTTAAATTTAATTTCAGTTTTGAAAAACTAGAGTAAGAAACTTGCCTTTTTCCTTCTATTTGGTCATCTTGAAGATGTCCCAAACAATCAATAAGTTGTTTAAATTTCTATACGATACTATACAGACTATATGTATTATAATTTTTTTTAATTTCATAAAAAGAACAAGATTGTAAAAATAGATTAAATTTGTTACAAACATATTAGGATAGTACTATATTATAATAAGTATTTCATAAAAACAAGGTTGTACACAAACAGAATAATAGTTATTGTACCAATATATTTTCTGTAAATTAAATATTCTGTGTGTATCTGTTTGTTATATTCATATAATAGTATGTAATACTGTAATTATAATTTGATTTATGTAGTGCAAATGAACAGGGTCTGTGAACTTGGCAAATGCTAAACAACAATAATTGTTTTTAAACAAAAAATTGAATAAAAAAGATTTTAAAAAAATGATATAAATGTATACTGTAATATAATATATTATACCAGTAGTAGAATGTTTATTTTAAACTTTTAATTAAATTGTAAAATTTATTTAATTATTGAATTTAATATGCTGTTCATGAATACTGTGTATATATAATAATATTTGTAGTTTTTAAGTTCTAGTAGTAGTACCATATGCAATGAGAATATGTTTTCAAATGTAAAAATTATACTTAGGAGTAGTTCCTTATTTGTGTCATTATAAAATAATACAATAATCCAATATACATAAATAACATCCATTCAAACATTGTATTAATTTTTTTTAAACAAATTGATATGGTATAGCTTAATGTGTTTCATGATTAAAATGTCATGTTTGTTTGTGACATGGAAAATATAGGCCTACATAGATTTTTATACAATAACATAATTATACTGCTGTAGGAATAATCCTATGATGTTATCTACAGACCACTTCATGAATAGCAGATTGTAATGGTTAATATGTATTAATCGGCAAATATTGAAACTGATTTTGCATTTTATTTTCATGTAAATTTACATTTCATAAGTAAGTGGGGAAGGGCCTTGACTTCCTATTCTTCCTTCAGTTTACCAAAGTATTATTGATACCAAAACGTTTTGTCCTCCAAATCCGCACAAGCTTTTTAATCTATCCCCAAGACAGAGGCCTTTTATAAAATTTTCTTATTGTGAATTCTATTCATGAACCACAGCCGCCATTAATTCTGTAAATCTCAGCTTTTGTAATATAATGGTATTTTTTAACATATTGTTATCTTGGTTGATAATGGCAAAATTGGATATATATCTATGTATGTAGTACTGTATTATATATTACTAATTTAAATTTGTAATTATATCAATACAGAAAATTCAATTTATCAAATTATTTTTACACAAAACAACCATAAAAATAACAATGGTAGAAATAATAATATTTTTTGTGCATTATTTTATGCAACTTCAAACTTGTTATAATACTGTATATAGATTAACTTAGCAGTATTTCTATCAGTCCTATATACATTAATTCTGTGTACTCCAGCTGGAGTAGTAATTTCTCTTATTCTAATAAGCAGTGCAGTTCATCCAATTAACCAACTGATTTGTCGTGGGGATATGGTGTATCCCAGAATCCTCAGTTAAGTGTCGTGTAAAGTTTTTTCCATGCATAACTGAAGGAAACCTAATGAGAATTTATGACTGTAGGCAAGCATGAAGATTGAGTTGACCGGTTGGCGAAATATGTAAACTTTAGTCAGAATTTAGTTGTTCAAATTAATAATTATATTATTAATATTTTCAAATATGTAAGAAAGAATGTATTGAAACAGAATCTGTGTACACTATGAACATCACATGTTGTAACCATTTACATTGGTATTCAACTGTATCCATTATATTATATAAATTTATAGATGATTTTATCACCAGCAGAATTGTTTCTCCATTCAAAGATTGAATATGGACAAATTTGATTAATTGATTAATGGAAATGTACTGTTGGCTTATTATATGCACTCTTATATGTTGGTTAGCAAAGAAAATAACTGTAGGCTACATAAATATTAACCATAAATTAATACTGTTTTTTTTTGTTTTTTTAAGAAAGGCATTAAAAAAAACTGAAACCAACTGGTAGAAGAAAATAATACTGGTTTTTAGAGGAGGTATTAGTGCAAAATAAGTATGTGGCTACAGTAGGTCAACAAAGTTGAAATGTACAATACCAGCAAGTTGTGTATAAATTAATAACTGAAATAAGATGAATAGCATATCAAGGCCAATGGAAGATTAATTGGAAACTTCCTGAGTTTAATTAGCAATTAACAATGAATACCAAAGCAAATGAACTGTGCATAATCAAACCAGCCAGTTGAATTATTTGGTGTATTTGTCCACAAGGTTTTTAGCAAATTGAACACTAAATTAATACATATTTATATAGAATTTGTATATTTTTAATTTATATCCTTGTATATGTATTTTAAAATAGGCTTATATTATAAATACCTGTATCATATTTTTTAATGTTATTCTGGAAGATTTCTTGTCATTTTGATTTAAATATTTTTTATGTTAAAAATTCATACATATAATTTTTGGTATGTAAACATATAATTTTTAAAAATATATAATAATCATTTATGTATATAGTAACATATTTAATATTGTTTGGTCATATTTGCATTGAGATATTCCTGTGTTTTCAAACCCAATTTTCCCATTATATATTTGCATATCATCTGAAAGAGTAATTACATAAATATCGCCGCAAACTATGTTATCGGCTATTCTCGTCATTGTTGGCTTTCACAACTCCTCAATTCATAATGCATATTCACCTTGTATTTAAGCTCTTCACTAATGCAAGCCTGATGAAACTTATGCTTCTTTCATAGCCATAATGGTTGAACTCCCAAAGGACACATTTCATTTCAGCATATTTGTTAATTTCTTCATAGTATCTCATTTAAAGTCCATTGGTTTGGTTTCTGAACTTGTGTATAATATATGAGAAAACTAATGCAGATTGTCATTAACATTCAGGCAAAAAATAATGTTATCGTAGTTTATAGTCAGTAAGTTAAATCCACACAGCAGCGGAAGTGAAGTTACAATACTCTTGCTAGACTTAATCAGTGTTGCTATGGTGACTCCTCTTGGGTCACATGGAGGGCAAGCTATTATGGAGTAATCAGACAATTCACCATGGAGACAACTCTCTCTGAATTAAATTGTTACTCTTCATAAAATAAACATTTGATGTTGAAGAAAACCCAGGCAGGGTACTGTAGATTATTCAAGGATGAAAAGGAGTAGTTTGCAATGGCAAAGGAAGAGCCTCCTGGGGTGGTAGAGGTTGCGGAGAATCCTGCTGTAAAACATTCCAGCATAGTTCAGTTGGCTTAGATTGCGATGTATTATGGGATCTATTATTGCGAATTACATTGACCTCTAACCAAGAGGACCTTGTGTGGATATGCAGCAGCTGTCAGTGAAATCAGCAACCAATTATAGGAATTCTATCAAATTAAAGCCTTTACTTTTACCAGCTCTTAACCATGGTTCCTACTGGCTCTGTGCTAGATCCAATAGGATTTATGCCTTTTACCATCATTAGTAATGATGGGAAATTAACTAAAAAATGCATATACCTTCATAATGGAGTTAACATATTGTATAATGGTATTTTTTAAAAACATTCTATATTTATGGTTTTCATGGTTAAATTATTTTTGTCTTTACAGAACAAAAATCCTAGGTGGTAAAAAATTGAGTGGTACGTCGGGAGAGAATGCGGTGGTAGAGCCTCTCAAGAAGAAACTTGATGTACCGGAGTGGTTTCACGGGTTAATCGCAAGAAACGTTGCAGAAGATCTTCTTTTAAAGAATCCGTATGCACAAACTGGCTTGTTCCTTGTTCGGCAGAGCTGTAATAGAGGAGGTAAGGCTTGTTCTGGATGAAATCTGACGTTAATATGGGCCTACATAAATTAGTTTTAAAAGTTAATAAAATTAGGTTTTTTGGTATTAATTAGTGATCAGAATTCAATAATAAAATAATTATTTATGTTTAATGAAGATATTATATGAATGATGTAATAATAAAAGTTCTGATGAGTCTGGCAATGTCCTATTCACACAAATATTTTTTCATAGATTGAACACAGCCTTAAATATTTTTTTAAGTGGATATTTGCACTATGTAAATCAAATTATTATTATTACTATTAGTCTAATAGTCTCGGGTGTAATAAATTTTATAATTTTTTTTCCAGGTAAATTTGTAATTTCTGTCTGTGCTGGCAGTCATGTCAATCATTATTTGATTGACACATTGGAGTCCATGTTCTACGTGCGGCGTGACAGCAGACAAGATCAGGGTAGAGATATCCAGGCAAGAGACTTGTGGGGTCTGATAGAGTGCTATAAACACACAGCATTGGATGCAACAGGTAAATGTTTTGAAAATGTTCAGTGATTTGTAGTGTTTATGGTAAATTTGCATTGGGCAATGGATTTTGAAGTACAAATTACCAGTATGTAAACTTTATTATGAAATCTAAATTGACTTACTGTATTTCTTTAACAACAAAATGTAGTGTATGTTAAATGATGATTAAAGCCATTACTTTTTTTTGTTGATAAAATAGAATTTAAAAATAAACAAATTATTATCTTTTGCTTTATGTTTATTAGGTCTTGAACTAAAGGAACCATTGAACAGAACAACACCAGTCAAAGTTTCAGCCCCTCTTACAGCAATCACAAATTCAGCATGTAATCACAACTATATCCCACTGTACGCTGATGAAAGAGACTTTATATCACTGCAACCATTTACGTCGGACGACTTTCAAATGTTACCGTTCCAAAAGGGAGAAATATTAACTGTATTACAGAAAGATAGCAAACAGTGGTGGTTTGCTCACGACTGTCAGGGCCGATTAGGGTACATCCCTTCGGCAAATGTGTGTAGTCTCAAGGAATTTAACAGCGGTGAAAATGGTTTCTGCAATCCTGTCTGCCTTGAAAATGAATTAGACACTTTTGGACCGAAAAGTGAAAATACTGGGAAAACATTTGTACGCGAAGTTGACTGTAATGCAAATTGCGAAAACGACAGACATAACTCTGATTTGTTTCCTGTTGAAAGTATCATTGGTGATACCTTAGAAAGTTTTTCTACTCATGTTCCACTTGACTGTATCTCACGATATTTCCGCAGTAAAGAACATGCCAAGCTCACTGAAATGCAGCGAATGCTAGATCTGAAATTGGGTCGAATTCTACCTCCAAAGCGACGCCACTGTTCTGAGCCTTGCTCTAGTAATATTCCCGATTGCCGTCGGGATCTTAAACCAAATAGTTGTAAAAAAGAATGTAGGAAGGTGAAGCCGAAAGCCCTTCCACCAACACCACCTGAAATAAGACGGGACTTAAAACCAATGTGGCCGACGGCTTCAAAATCGCAAAAACATCTTTACATGCGGAGACACAATTCGCTGCTTATCAAAGGGGTAAAAACGGATGTACACCACTTGGAATCTCTGGCAGAACTAGAGCCAATATCAGCACCAAATAGTCCACTTGGAGACTGCGGAATGGAGTCGAGTAGCTATTTAAAACTTTCAGAAAGTGCAACGGGCGTGAGTTTTCACGGCAACCCGTTTTGCGCGACGAACCCAACAGCGCTTTGTTCGTGACATAACTACGTTAAGAATATCTTTGTGCTAGACTATTTGACCAGTAATCAGCGACACAGTAGTGTATTCATCTGAAATTTTCCCACCTGTTTTGTTTGAATGAAATCTAAATAAACTGTTGTTCGATTGTATAAACATAAATTTTAGATCATCATTTTGATGATGTTTATTAAATTAAATTGGAGCATTTGATTAAATATGGCCAATAATTTGCATGAGAATGAGTCATAGCAACGTGTAATTTAGGGCCTTACATAATTTTTCATAAATTCATTAATATAATAATAATACTGTTGTTGATCATGTGTATAATTTACAGAGGGTTTGTGCAATTGTTATGTCTCAATCTTTCAAGTCGTTTTAAATTGTTTTCATTGTAACGATAGTCTGAATTTAACCAGTACTCCACATGTATGAAAGAGACATCAGAAAACATTATATAGAAAGTGTTAGTGTTTCAGAATATTCAATGAGCTATTGCAATTAATTTGTAACCTAACATACAATTCTTTAAATGTTATAAAATGTGTATTAGATTTGAAATTCACTAGAGGTGCTATACTGCCCTCAACTATATGGAGTAGACATCATAATATTGATACCATATATTATTATTTTATTAATTTTTATCAATTTATTTTATTAAAATCTATTACTGGCAACCACGTGCTTTGTAGACGAACACCCTTTTGGTGATACAAAATGTTTTGTATCAATGAGCTATTGCAATTAATTTGTAACCTAACATACAATTCTTGAAATGTTATAAAATGTGTATTAGATTTGGAATTCACTAGAGGTGCTCTACTGCCCTCAACTGTATGGAGTAGACATCATAGAATTAATACCATATATTATTATTTTATTAATTTTTATCAATTTATTTTATTAAAATCTATTACTGGCAACCACATGCTTTGTAGAACACCCTTTTGGTGATACAAAATGTTTTGTCTTTACATAATGTTTATCACTATTATTATGGTTGTTATTAATATTATTATACATATCTGTTGTAGGGTTTTTTTAATAGTTTAAAAAGCCTGATGAATTTTATTTATTAATGTATGAAAATTTACTTTATGTAATTTTTTAAAAGTGTTCAACTAATGAAAACATTACATTTTTCTTTCAGTTGGTATCTCACTGTGAAATTGAATCGTGAAATAACTGTTGAAATATGTTTTAAATTCTCTAATAGTCAATCACAAATTGAAATAAACCATAAAAAAATACTGAGTTTCTACAAGATTACATATATCTAAGGAATGGTAAACACTTTAAAAAAAAAAGATATTTTTTAAATGTGGGGATAGGATTATTACCTGTCTAGTGAAGGTTAATTGAAGATATGAAAAGGCATTTTTGAAGATTATGTAGATGTATGAACAAAGTAAATTTTCTATCTTATTAATTGTATACTGTACATATATATTTACAAGCACTGTGCAGTATACTAGTCTATAGGTAATGTTGAACATGAAGCAAACTGTTATATTTTATATAGAATCAATAAAACTATGCGCAACATTCTCAAAGTTACTTCTGTATGCTCTGATTGATCTCGTTTACTGTGTCTTTTGCCAGGGAAAAGGGTGAGTGAGAAGGTGATGGTAGAGAATGAGAAGGAGAGGGTACCAGTAGCGGATTTAGGGGTGGGGGAGGCAAGCCGACCTGTTTCCCCCTAAACTTTTAAATATTATATAAAAATGGAGAAAAACTGAAAATTATGATCAACTTTATGTCTGATAATGCCATTTCCAGCCATCTAGATGTGCCATTATCATATGTTTTCCTATTCAGCCCCAACTATGGGCTGAAGTGGTGTAGACCATCCATCTGTTAATCCCCTCCCTTGTCCTCCTCTATCTCGAATTCCTGGATCCGTCACTGGTTGATGATCCACAAAACGACAGTGTAAAGTGTGTTTGTGGGACAAGTGCATATTGTCCCTGTTTTTATTGGTCAGTTATTAAGTTTGATTGGTACTAATCCATGATGAGAAGAGGGTTACCCCACCCCTCTCCTGTCTTAGAGGTAGATCCATGCCTGACAAATGTGACACCCCTGTTACTGGTAAATTTTCCAGACCAGAAATAAAAAGCAAGTCTATCATATCATGTGTAACTAGTAAAGCTGTCTATTGAACCAAGAATACTTTAGTACTGGAGATTGCAGCAAATAATATAAAAGGTTACATAAAAAGTTAGAAGCATAGAGGGCAGCAAACTGAAAATTTATAATTTCATGTTTTACCAGTGGCGTAGCTACGGGCCCATTAATAACAGACCTAAAAATAATATTTTAAAATAATTTCCAACTTAATTAATGTTAATGTAGCGGACCCCTCAATAATATTCGGTTTTTAGAGGATTAATTATTGATTACTGTGTTGATTTTCAAATCAGTGGTGTATTCAGGAGTACCTCAGTCAGCCCGCCCCTCCCTCCCCCCA